TCTGATAACGACATGTTTTCCTTCAATGCTACCTAAGCAGTTAGGAAAGTTTCATAACCTCCAGAAATCAAGGGCAATCTCATTCCAAGAGGTCCCAGAAGGGCAATTTACAAACTCTCTATTCAATGCATTCCAAATTGCTTTGCATACTTCGGAAACAATGCATGAAACATTCGTTGAACCAAGACGGTAGCTGGCTGCAATACTTTGCTATGATCCACCACACGCCAAAATTCTGAGAGTCAAGTCCCTCTTCAGTTCAACAGGACTAGAGTGAGTTCCGGCATGGTTAGTAAAATGTCTGATTTTATGAGCAAGCTCATCAAAGCGGTTGGCTGACATGCAAAAATATTTGAAGTGCATTTCATCATCAATAGCACGCATTTGTTGAACCAGCAGAAACTCTCCCTCAGTTTTTCTTGACTGACAAAGTGGATGGACACACCATCTTCTTTTACGATGTCGCTTCCTTTTTTGTTGCTACAGCAGCAATATTATTTCTTCCTCAAGTTCGAGCTCTTCTTCGTCTGACATTTTAGCAGAAATGAATTCATTTGATTCACAAAGAATATAAAGAATGCTGCCAATGCACTTCTTAATGTAAATGTAAACATAATTTTAAATTTGTATGCAGATTTTGCGCGGTTGTCGCATGGGCTGTCGCGTTCTCTATAAATGCTTTATTTGATTGTTGGATGGCGCGTGCCCATTGATTGCGCAAGCCAGAGTGTGGCGCGACACATGTCGTAAGAAGCATAAATTGGCCTTTATACTTCGTGCGACAAGTGTCGCGCGCCATGTCGCATGAAGAATATGATGTCATATCACCAAAACGGAAGTAACATTTGACGTAATTTCAGAAGCGAAATTTGCTATTAATAAAATTTTATTTGAAATAGAACAGAAACTTTACAGTAGTGACTTTAATTAATAAAACTTTGTATTTATGCAGTGAATGACACGTGGAGATATATTAAGACGTTTTGTTGTAAAGAAAAATAGTTTTTTATTGTGAAGGTCCTTGGCCGATAAAGCTAAAGGCAAAATAAACATGGATGCTAAAAAACTATATTTTAATGTAGTAATCATTGAGTTTTGTATTTTATAACAATGCTGGAGGGCATTCACATTAATGCTACATGCAATGTTACAGATGTAGCCAGCCCACAATTTTATGCTAAGTAAATATTTTTGTCTTTGCTCACAATAAAATTAATAGACTTTTAAAAAAATGAATACTGCTAATAATAATAAAAATTATCTGGCTGGCTATGCCACTGCAATGTTATGAATTAAAATTCATGTACCTATAATTAACAAAAAATATTAACACAACACAATGTTTTAACATTTAGGGTTATTTTGGGTATTTGTTAAGGTTATTTAAATAATTTAGTAAATGTGTAATCAAAATATTTTCAGGGTCTTGACCGCAGACATCCTTTATTTACAACATTTGCTTGCCATGTCAGCATCCCATGAACTGACATAAATAACTCTTTAAGTCATTTCGAACAGCTATTGCAGCACTTGTCGACCTTGCATTGGACAGCCGCCTCATATCTAGTAAGTTAGTATCAAGTGCAACAATTTTCCTCTATTCTCCTTCTTGTGTATCATACAAAGCAGTGGTTGTATCAGTGAAGTTTGATGAAATATATCGAGAAGTGAAAATATTTGTCGCATCTGTATTGTTGAGGAAGTTGTGAAGAGCAACACATGCTTTCACAATATCAACTACCTTTTGTGGATGAAATTCCATTCGTCGTTTAAAAATCCTCCATCTAGCAGACAAGATTCCAAATGAGTTCTCCACAACTCTTCTTGCTCTGAAGTGCCTGTAGTTGTAAACTCTTTCTGATTTAGTTAGGTTAGAGCCTAACAAGAAAAATCATAAATGCTAGGTGGAAGCATTTTCGGTATTGGTTTGTGGCATCTTTTTTCATACAATAAAGAAATGGTAGAATAAGTGACTGATGTCTCTGTTGTGCATGCCTACCTGGATATTCGCATCATGGTAACATGCAGCGGATATACGGCATCTGCAACAAAGACATGGGGAACAGGTATATTGGTGTTTGGTAACATTTGGGCGATGGCAATTGTAATCTCCCATGTAGCAGGTTGTCCCCAAATTGACTTTTTTTAAACACACCTCCATCACTGTTTTGCCTATATGCTCAAGATAGGGATGCTCTGATAATGACATGTTTTCCGTCAATGCTACCTAACCAGTTAGGAAAGTTCCATAACCTTCAGAAGTCACGGGCAATCTCATTCCACGAGGTCCCAGAAGGGCAATCTACAAACTCTCTATTCAGCGCATTCTAAATTGCTTTGCATACTTCGGAAACAAAGCATGAAACAGTCGTTGAACTAAGACGGTAGCTGGCTGCAATCTTTTGCTGCGATACACCACACGCCAAAATTCTGAAACTCACTGCAAGTCTCTCCTTCAGTTCAACAGGACTAGAGTGAGTTCCAGCATGGTTAGTAAAAGGTCTGATTTTATGAGCAAGCTCATCAAAGCGGTTGGCTGACATGCGAAAGTATTTGAAGTGCATTTCTTCATCAATAGCACCCATTTGTTGAACCAGCACAAACTCTCCCTCAGTTTTTCTTGACTGATGAAGTGGAAAGTCTTGTAAAATAAAAGACTTTCATTTATTATAACAAAAGGTTCGCACCCTAAAAATGTGAAATAGCAGGGCACAACATAATTATCGCTATGAAAGACATTCTTTATTCATCCGAAGTCATCATCTTTAATTTACTGTTCAGCGAAGGTTACAGTAATGCCGATAAAATCTCTCTGAAGTAATCCAGAATTTTTCCTCTTATTCCCTCATTATTTTTGTACCGTAGTTTTAAATTATATTTTCAAATATTTCATTACATGTAGTATGTTGTTGTTTTTGTAACATGTCAAGTGGACCGTGTCCATCGTTGCATAAAGTTTGGGTCATGCAAAACTCTTATAATTTGTATTGACAATTTGGATCAGCAACTCTTATAATTTGTATTCACAATTAGGATCAGGTTTTTTAAATGGTATCATAACTCTTCACAGTATTCAGTATTGAAAGTAGGATTCATCTTATAAATTTTATTTGATAGGTGAGATGCATCTACCTGCTGATGAGCCTTTACCAGGAGCAAATGAAAGCCTTCCCTATACTGTGGTTGCAGATGAGGCATTTCCTCTTAAAACCTGCATGATGCGACCTTATCCAGGAAGGCTACTGGATTGCCTTCAAAAGAGAGTTTTCAACTACAGATTGTCGAGAGCTTGGCGAACAATCAAAAACACTTTTGGTTTGTATTTACATCCTCATTTTCTTTATAAAGTTTCGAATCAAACACTTTTCAATATTCTCTTCAATTGATATTTGTATCAGGTATAATGGTATCCAAGTGGCGAATACTTAAAACAACCATTATAGCAGAACCAGAAATTGTGTCCAAAATTTTCAAGGCTACTTGCATTTTGCACAATTTCCTCCGAACACGCCATGTTTCCTACATTCCAGCTGGTTTCACAGATACTGTGGATCCATCAGGAAATGTTTATGAAGGGTCTTGGAGGCAAGAAACGGCTTGTGTGCTTGAACCATTAGCTCGCAACAAACAAAGAAATTACTGTAGTGGAGGATCCAAAATCAGAGAAAAGTTTGCGATGTATTTTAATTCAGAAGTTGGTCATTTTTCATGGCAGCAGAAATATGTGGAAAGAACTCATTGATATAATTTTATTTTACTTTTTTCTTGTAATACAGAGTAAAGCACAATTATTTTTCATTATATTCAATGTCAAAAAGAGCATCCTGGATTCATTCTTTTTTTAGCCGGTGCTTTAAGGTAATCAGAAGAAAGCTTTCGGATTTGGTTGGGGAGATGCTGATTATTGAGTAATAACTGCTCAGCAACTGCAGCTGGTATTTGTTAGGATCATTATCTTGAACTCTCTTTCTCCTTTTGTTTGATCGTGGAGGTGATGCCGATGGTGTTGCTGCTCTAGATAGTGAAGCTGAGGTGGATGAATTGGTGATGATGATGATATGAGTTGGAATGAGATTGAGCGTGAAGTCGGATCAACTGCTTCAGAAAACTGCCTGCTCTGTAGATTATCTAGTGTCAATGCACCAATGCTGTTACTTTCATCTGTGACTTCATTGACTGATGCATCTTTAATCACAGTGACAGACATGCTAGTTGATGTTCTATATAAAGAATTAACATTTTTGAAACCTATGACCATTATGCTACTTAACACATTCAGCCCTATACAGTAACACAATAATAAAATGATACATCAATGTTATTATGTATGCCTTACCGTCGGCGCTTTCTGTAATCGTCCAACCATGTCATCAAACCTCAAAACTCCCATGATGGTGTAGATGAGGCTGGAGCTACTGATATTATGGCAGCATCGTTTTTCTTTTTGTAACTGACGTATACATCTCTAAGGCTTTTCATTTTGGGCTTGAGCTCCTCAATTGATAAAATTGATAAAACAAAATTATGCTCAATATCTCAAACAATCCAAATTTCAACAAACAACATGTCTTATCACGGCATCACTGAAAATATCAAAGATAAATAAATTGCTCCTTCCCTGTTCCTGTAAACCCAATAGCTCTCAGATCGTCTAGAATTTGATGCCACGCATTCCCCCTCATTGGCTCATTTTTAAAATTTTTGTCTGCAAGATCAAGTAATACAGGAAAATTAAGAAAAGAATTTATAAGCGCTTCTTTGTAACCAGCCGTCTTTGTTCACGTTGACTTCATAAATTAGCATTTTGAGCTAGGAAATAACCAATCACATGCAAGCGACTGAAGCGACCAAGGTCAAAAGTTCAATCTTGCTAAACTTCCAAATATACAAATAGCTAGGAAAGGCGTTCTTTACTCATCGGAAGGCATCTTTACAATTTACAATTCCACGGAATAAAGTTGAAATCAAATAACTATTTGGAACGCAACAATATCACTCTGTTTTGTAGTTCAAAACACAAACAACATAGTCCATAATATAATTTGTCCACTTTTGTATATAATCAAAAGTTTTACCCAAACTATCTCTTGTATATTAGGCATGAACGGCTACCTACAGTAATAATTTGAACTAATTTCCTTTTCCCTGGTCTTTTAAAGTATTTGATTACAATTGAACTCTTTGTAAAAGAAAATTGGAATTAAAAATGAAAAAAAAACTTCTATAAATTATTGACCTTTTAACACCACCTTAGCTAACTCGAACAATTTCCGTTCGAGTTATCGGTATTCTTGTCTACAATCAAAAGTTTCAAAAAAAGTAGGTAAATATAATTAATGATAATACATTCAGTATATCCAAAACTGGGTTTTTAATACAAGAAAACGATGACAATTAAGAAGACAAAACCCAAAACGGTTTTCATTGGTGTTTGTGTCGCTCCTCCGTTACAGAGATTAGTGTCACAACATGAAATGGAACACGATTTCCATAACAGTGTCTCCTTGACTTGCCTCCCATGGCAAAAGTCTACTCTATTTGAACAATTCACAGTTGATGAAAAGTCACATCCCTTTTGAACGCGAATGAGAAGTCCGTTAGAAGTGGTGTATTTCAGCGAGTAGCAATGTCCAGTGGTGCATGGAATTGTTACACCAAAACATTTTGGAAATCGTTTTATCAAATCGTAATTGTACTCACACGAATAACATTTCTTTGGGCTGCCTATAAAGATATAGAAACACGTAATTTTTGGGCATTTAACCAATCAGCGCTGGTGTTTTTTAAAGCCTGTGTTATAGTATTAATTGACAATAAAATAGTTTTCGTTATGATTATATAGAGGTATGAAAAACTAAACTATGTTATTGGATATAACTTAAGAATCCCAGTTTAAAGTATACCAAGTTTTTGTATAACATAAGAATTGAACAAAATTCTTTGTTACAAAGCACGATGCATTTTGCAAATTATTTTGACATCACGAAGTCCAAATTAAATCAAAATCCGCTTTGCAAAAACAGGTTGAAACAAATTTGAAAGTGATCAGCGCAAAAGATGTTTCTGTCTGTTGTACTAACAGTCAATAACACTAAAGAGTGGAGAGTTAAAGTCATCGCCACCAAAATAAATGCGCAAACAAATTTTTATAATTTCTCCCAATAAGCTCACCAGCAACTCGATTTTGCCACGTTGAATAGAAAGTATATATGAATGCTTTAACATCAGTTTGACGTCCTTGTGATATCATCAAAATTTATTTTTCGATATTTTGATTGGTTGTAAAGTAAAAGACTTTCATTTATTATAACAAAAGGTTTGCACCCTAAAAATGTGAAATAGCAGGGCACAACATATCGCTATGAAAGACATTCTTTATTCATCCGAAGTCATCATCTTTAATTTACTGTTCAGCGAAGGTTACAGTAATGCCAATAAAATGACTCTGAAGTAATCCAGAATCTTTCCTTTTATTCCCTCATTATTTTTGTACTGTAGTTTTAATTTATATTTTCAAATATTTCATTACATGCAGTATGTTGTTGTTTTTGTAACATGTCAAGTAGACTGTGTCCGTCGTTGCATAAAGTTTGGGTCATGCAAAACTCTTATAATTTGTATTGACGAATCCCTTGCATTACATGACTACTACCCCTTATTTTGAAGGTGACTATCGCTGTTTTTTTGCAAACGTCACTCAATATCAACACCAACAGCTCTTCTCATAACTCTACCGATCTATTTATACAACCAGGTCATTTGTTAGCAACACCTTATTGGGAGAATGTTTCATTTCAAACCAAAAATCACTGTATGTGGCATGGTGATTGGTGAATGGTAGAGTTTTACATGAGCTGTTTAATTAACAACCAAAAAACTCTTAGTTAAAGACATCTGTCATCGTTATGTTGACATCAAGAAGTAAATCGAAACTTTCTTTGCAAAAATTAAAAAAATTCAACTAATTGAAAAAATTCGAAATTGATCAGCGCAAAGAGATTTCTCTCGTCTGTACAAACAGTCAAGAATATCAAAAGTCATCACCGCCATTAGTAAATACTTAAGAAGCTTTTAATAGTTTTTTGACATATTTAGTAAACGGAAAATAAAATAATAGAAATGGTTAATTTGAAGATAAATTATTGAAGACCAACCTGAGCTAACGGAGATTGTCATAAGTAAAATAACTGCAAAGACTTTAGTAAGCATCGCCATTATGCCTACAGTGAAATAAAAAGAAAACATCAATAACTGAGGATGTTGAGTTGACATGAAAATGATTTATTTGAGCGATGTTTTGATTATTGAATTTATACCTTCCATGGCTGAAAAATTATAAAATCATAAACAGTTATTAAGCTAGAACACACTTCGACATAATTGACTTGGGATATACATGACGTAGAAACAAGACAGTGGGTTTTAAAGGTTTTCATTTCATATGATGATTTGCTTACCCTGAGAACTAACTCTCATCTATTTATTGTATTTCATTACAGGTGATGGATGCCAGTAGTGAGGCTGATATGTATGAGCTAGTTTCAAATGATGAGTTTATGAAGGTGTTTTCTTTGTGTGGAGATACTAATGTACTCAAGTCTTGTGCAGCAATAGATTCGTTACTTTACATGGAAAAAAAGTATCTACTTAGTAGAAACTGCGCATTGTCATTTGATAGATCAGATTTATCTGAGGTTATCCCTTAAATTGAGTACAATATATTTTAGATAGTAAACAAGAGAAAGATAATTCAATCAATAACAAGCTTTGAAGTGATTGAAGCAAATGAAAACGCAAGATGGCACTTGATCTGCTTCGAAAAGAATGAAGACCTTTGGCCTTTTGGATGAGATAGAAATGAATCCTAACATATTTGAAAGTGTTTTCATCCGAAGACAAGAAGAATTAACTCCTGCTTCAGTATTAATCATCGTCTTTTTGTTCCTGGATATGAAAAAGAGCACATGCTTGTGAAATTTTTGGAAGAATGTACAATTTGGCGGTTGCAAAACTTTCTCAAGTTTACCACATATAGCAAAGATATTTTACCATTACAAAATAAGGTGATTAAAGCGGACTTACATGATAAATGTTATATTTTCTTATTAACGTGTCAGTTAAAGCTGTTGATTCCTACATACTTTGACACATACAATTTGTTTGAAAATGCAATGTTGGCCGTGATGCTTGAGTGTGGAATGGCATTCACTACCACTTGAATATTTAGGAATTGGTACTTATGCATTCATTTTTAATCGATTTGATAAATTTGTTCAGTTATTGTTGATTATTTGGTTAGTCCTATATCAGTAAATCTAGATGGATTTACTCCACATTTTTGCTAACATTTTGCTCGGTAAAGATTTCTACAAATATATTTTAAGAAATGGTGCAATCAAACATATAGTGAATCGTATGTACGAATATTGGGCCAAATACTAATCAAGAATAGCTCGTGCCTGGTTTTTTCCATCGATCAACTCACCTTTTTTTTGTTATACGTTAAATAAATAGTTATGTTGAATGCCATCAGAATGTTTAGACTTTATTCATGTAATATGATACCTTAAAGGGCCCCTGTCAGCAAAAATTTTTACATGCGGTGTAATTTACACATAAATGGTAGTTATCAAAAGTGGTCTTATCATCCCATTTATATAGTGCTTCAAAGTTGGCAAAAACACTCTTTTTGATGGATCTTGTTCGTCATAAGTAAAGTTTGGAACGACTTACATTTGTGATGTAATGTAAGGGACTTGTCAATACAGAATATACCAATTACATTGGGTGATGTAAGAATTTAGCTAGAACCAAACTCCATACTACGACGGACAAGGTCCATTGAAAGATAATTATTAACCCCCATAAAATTAGAACAAGTGGACCTAATTCAAGAGTTTTTTTATTGATATGTTAGACAGACCACTTAGTTTCAATAAAAATTAAATAAAAATTTTACTACTGCTTAGTGTTGTATTTTTTATTAAATTAAGTGAAGTCCCAAGGTCTTTCCCAAGGTCAAGTCCCAAGTTCATTCCGTAATAATAACATATGAAAAATAACAAAAAATATTTTCATGTCAAAATGCCACAAAATGAAATCATTCCTTCCTTTGGCACTTCTCTTTGGTAGAAAACGTTCTCTGTGCTCATTGTTTAATAAAAATGCCCAGCAATTATCATTATTTTTCCTTTTTCTTGCTCTCCCACACTCAGTGCATGTTATGTGTGCTGGTGTTCACGTGCTAATACCGTTGAAAGGAAATTTGCAAAAAACAATATAATTGCCATATCCTCATATATCTCATAAATTTCAATGATAGAACTATAAGTTTTTCGCCATTTTGAATTAAAACGATTTTTTTAAATGAATATTATATCTTATTTGTCTAACAATGGTGTGACGAAAAGATATATCAAATTGGTTTGTTGTGTTGTACGAATATATGCTTATTGATAGGACTATGTTGCCGATGATTCTGCTCCAATTTAAATTTTTATGTTTATTGTTAAAATGAGGAGAGATTGCACATGTTACATATATCATTGCTGATGTAGTTATTTTCCATAGGGCTATAATATATTTAAATTCTTCGTCTGTTAAATCAAAATCGTCGTCATTACTAATTTAAATAAATATAAAGAAAACTATATCCTGTCCGCTTTACATTTTCCTCACCAAAAAACAGAACACAGGGTGAGAGATAAACAACGTGATATACGAATAAAATACCAAACAAAATACAAGCACAAACTGCACAGTTTAGCTATCAAGTTCCAAGCGATGACTATACTAATCGTTATCGTTAGCATTTGCGAGTATGAAAAATACACAGCCGAAGAAATCACAACGGACAGACAGACACTGCCTCACTCAGACATTTTTTCATTATTGCCACCAAACTTTTTTTAGCAATATGAAATCTGTCTATAATTTTAAGCCTTTCGGAGAAAAAATTCAAAAATTTGGTCAAATGAAGAAGCTTTTATAGAATCTTGAAGTTGTGCATTTTTGTCCCAACGCTGTCGTTTTCTATAATACAAAAGAAACTGGCACTAGAAAGTATTTTGACGTCAGCCAATATAGTCAGCATTCGGGCATATTTAGCTTATATTAAACATATACATTCTTACACGCTGTTTAATTATAATATTCGAGAAAATTATGTCTTGCGAAGAAAGCGATGAATCAAAATCAGAATTGAGTGTTCAGTCAGATAATTCTGACAAAAACTTTATTGCAGGATACGTGACAGAAAACTCGGAAAGCAATGAAACTTGAGCGATAATGATTCGGATTTTGACTCCAAAGCATGGATGGTCGGAAAGACACAAATTCCAATTTCATCTTTTTTAAGGCCTGGAAAAATAGCGTTCGTTTATTTCGGCAAACTACTAAACTGACGTTCCAAATCCTCTGATTTTAATTGAGCTGAACAAAGTGTTAAAGCACTGAAAGGCTCAAATACGCGCTTTGCTTTAAAACCAAATATCCCGTCTTCGCTTGGCCTCGGGCCTTTTATCATTATAAGACATAGTGTGAAGACTCATATGAGAGCAAAGGCTTGACTCATTCGTAGAATTGTCTTCAACGCAACTATTTTCCTTTTTTTCTGCTTTTACTAGTGCAAAGGCAATGCTTTTAGGCGCTTATAAACTTAAGTTGTGCCTCAGCTTGCATTGACTTGAGAGCAATTGAATACACGACTCGTGTAACAGAAAATTAGCTAGTTTCAGACTCCTCATTATCACGGACATGGTTCACAAGAATATGCGATTTTAGTGAATTTAACGTTTTACAAAAATCAAACGATTTTACCAAATTCAAAATTTTTTCTCAACGAGGTTTAAAATCATTGACAGATTTGATATTTCTAAAAAATTTTTTTGGTGGAAGGGATACTTTAAGACTCACAAGTTAAAATGCCTATTATTTTCACAGTAAAAGAATATAAAAACGTACATAGAATGACTAAACATTTTATCACTCTGGCTACACCACTGAAAATTTTATTCTTTAAAAATTCAAAACCATTATCATTGTTTAGAAGGTATAATGATAAAAAAAATGAGCTGGTGTAATTTATTTGGACTAATACTTCATTCACGACTTAGGACCTAAGGAAGACATAATGTAATTGGGGCACGGTTATACGAAAATGTAGTATAATTTTATAGAGAACATACAGTAGATTGCATTAAATATTTTTTTGCCGTGCATATCTTATTCCGCAAGTTAATACCATAGTGGCAGTCAGACAATACCATTTTTTGACCAATAGGTGCACTGAGCTGGCAAACTACACCCAGTAATATAATTATATATACAGCAGTAAGTTGCACAGAAAGTGTTCCTACTGTATATTCTCTATACTGTGGTTGGGGTGACATAAACATTTGGATGTAATGATCCCTAGACAACAATGGTTTTCAAAGGAACTTAACACATGTAGCCTATATTATGCATACATAATATGATATCCAAACTAACAATCATCCTACAGTCCTGCCACAGTTTTTCTTGCTAAAAAAGAGAGTGTGTCAAGAAGTCAACTAAAGTGATGAAAGCAATAAAAATGGTCAACAAAACATTGTAATAAGAAAACCAATGAAAAATTGGTGGGCATAATTCTTATTAGAGTTGACCCAAAATTGTGTAAAAGATGTAAGAATCTGTACGCCTATGACCAAAACCATTTTTCATTGGTTAGATTATTATTCTAAAAAAAATAGGCAAACTACATGAAATAGCTAGCAACTGAAGAATAAAAACATATCTTATACATAAATTAATATGAGCCCCCACCCAACAATTATTGATCTTCCTGTACATGAATGAATCCAAGTAAATAGACAAATCTTGTAATAAAAATATATTTAGCGGCCATACATTGTCCACAATCATTGAGCATTTATAATTGATGAAGAACACATATAAAATATTGACCTTAGTATGTTATTTCTGTAGGAAATCAACACATATTAACAAACAAGTTTTATCATTTCAAAAGTTCAAAAAATGTTGATGTACGTAACTAAGTGATGAAAATCCTCTACAAGATAATTTTAAGATTAAGCGATGACAAAAATAACTTCCGAAGAATAACAAATCTTGTTAATCTAGTGATTTAATGTTCTGCTTCAATTATATTCATTTCCTATACAATGTTTGAAAGCTAACTTGAATATCTCGCTTACGTTTGTTGTATTTTATGGTTTGACAATAACCATGTTTAAATGCTTATCAAGAATAACAAAGCAAACTAGTTTTAAGGTCGAATCATACCTACATTAGTCAAAGTCTTAAGTAAATTTTAAATAAAAAACTGTCTTTGTTCTTAGATAGATACGTAAATTAAAATTAATTCGAGTCGCCATCTAAGAATGTAAAATCTTTATCTCGCTTTTTTATTAGATGGAAGGAATATTTCATGATATCATGATCATATATCGCCAGAAAAACATTTTCAACTTTTAACGTTGACGTGGATAATATTTGACAACATAAATAAATTTAATAATTTCACACAGCAGGCTGCAGCTTCCTTACTTATGTGCAATGTTTGTCACATGCGCGATCTCGCGTGACTTCCACGTATGTAAGGTCAAAGGTCTTACACTTTGGGCAACTCTCAAAACAAAATATAACCAACCGTTAACCACTTTCACCAAACCGTTTATTAAAATATCGCATCTGTAAATGGTGAAATACAAAAAAAAATAGGACGCAATAATAACGAATGACTTTACTACATTTTTATAACGCATATAAAAAACGAGAATGTTTTAAGGTTTGTCATAGCAAATGTTTTTCAATACCTGTGCTGGGCCTTTCAAAACCTATGCTAGGTTTTTCGATATCTATGTCACACGTTAGTGCTAATTATTAGGCCGTCATGAATATAAGTGTAATTTTAAAATGAGAATCTGAAAGTTTTTATTGTCTCTTGTTTCTCGGTCTTTTCAATTTCTTGGAGAAGATGGCAAAATTCATTTTATTTCATGGAAATTATGAAAAAATTCATGAAAGAGGGATAACCACCTTTAAAAACATAGCTATAAATGGTACTGTAGCATCTGTGTTGTGTCAGCTGTAGTCTGTGTATTCAAAGTATTGATCAAGTTTCATAAGCAAAACGTTATAAATGCAAATTTTAATGTTTCATACAAAGGCAGATATTTGCGCAACTTTTCACTGTCCTACGTCCAAGACCAACTCACCAACTCGTAGTATATGAGTGTATTTAGTGCGAAATTCATAACATTCTATACTTGAGCCTGACAAAAACTTTAGAATGTTAACGTTGTGCCAGCACTTATGAAAAGCGTTTGATTAAAATCGCAATTTTTTTGGATTTCGCAATTTTTAAGTCAGTTCTTATTATAAAAATCTTTTGTTATTGAATAAACCATTGTAAATTATGAATACATGTCAAACATCAACTGCACGAAATTATAAATAATTATGATCAATAAAGACACTGTAGATACAATAGTAAAGTTTGCAATGAAAGTAAACCTTAAAACTGTTAAACAAACATGATCAAAAGTATAATATTAAAAGTTCGCTGTGTTACAAGAATCAACATTTCACAAAAATAGATTCGGTTGTGTTCTTTCTCATTGTAAATACATTATTCTCATGTTTAACATTTGCTTATTTTACAAATGTTCTTATTTTTAAAATGAATGGTTTGCTCAACACAATTAACAACATTTTGTAAGACACACAGCGATTAGTCAGAAGGGGCGTCGGCAAAAAAGAGAAGTGATGCATGATTGGACATGCCATCCCTCCTACATAAATTTTCACTGATTCCAATTTTTTCCATAGACAAGTATGCTACTTTACCTCTCCCATATCGTTGAATAGGTTTTGCTTTCCTTTACCATGCAGCTTATTGTCAATGTTAGAAAGTTGGTATATCAATTTAGATGTGATTTCTCATGCATGTTTAGTCATACTTTATCGAGATTCTGCTTTAGCTAATTTGTAATGTCAGTAATGTTGTTTTAAAATATCGCTTTATTTTTAGAAAAATTACCTTCGTTTTAGAAGTAAGACGACCGTGTGAACAAAATTATGCTTGCTTTAGTTTTTTACATGTCACAAACTCAACAAACGGACGAGAGATTTAATATAAACAACGCGACCACATACATATTAGTTAAAAATGGTGATAACTATTCATACCTTATTGTTACATCAATCTTTCATCCATATAAGTTTTGCTTTATAAACACATTTAAATAGCGAACGAAAATGAAGAGTGAGTCAGGATCTCTTTCAACAAACAGTATAATAACACATTAATGACATCTATGTAGAACATTCTAGTTATATAACTAAGTATACATCACTGACTAAAAACAATTGTTATAGAAATAAAAATACATAAATAACAACCTCATGCAGAGTTGATAATAACCTTGAGATTAGTCAAATTCCAAAGGACTAATGCTAAATCTTATAAACTTTCACAAGTTTTAAACTCAGGAATAGAGAATCACTTATCTAAGACAGGACTTGAATGCCAATGATTAAGACACGATTTATGAGACTGTGAATGGATTTTTTCCCTTCATTAATCAAAAATTCCAAACATGTATATTCTAGCATAAGTCAGTTAATATTATAAAAAAACCTTTGTTATTGAATAAGCCATTGTAAATTATGAGTACGTGGCAAACATCAACTACACGCAATTATAATTACTTATGATCAATAAAACACTGTAGATACCACAGTAAAGGTTGCAATGAAAGTAAACCTTTAAACTGTTAAGCAAACATGATCAAAACTATAATTTTAAAAGCTCACTGTGTTGCATGAATCAACATTTCACAAAAATAGATTCGGTTGTGTTCTTTCTCTGTGTAAATACATTATTCTTATGTTTAACATTTGCTTATTTTACAAATTTTCTTATTTTAAAAATAAATGGTTTGCTCAATACAATTAACAACATTTTGTTAGGCCCACAGCGATTAGTCAAAAGTGACGTCGGCAAAAAATGGAGGTGATGCATGATTGGACATGCTATCCCCCTACATAAATTTTCACAGATTTCCATTTTTTTCCATAGACAAGTATGCTATTTCACTTCTCCCATACCTTTGAACAGGTTTTGCTTTCCTTTACAATGCAGCTTATTGTCAAAAGTTAGAAAGTTGGTATATTAATTTAGATATGATTTCTCTCAAGCATGTTTAGTCATACTTTATCGAGATGCTGCTTTAGCTAATTTGTTATGTCAGTTATGTAGTTCTAAACTATCGCAAAATTTTTCTAAACTTACTTTCGTTTTAGAAGTAAGACGACCGTGTGAACAAAATTATGCTTGCTTTAGTTCTTTAAATCTCACATACTCAACAAACGGATGAGAGATTTAATATAAAACAACGCGACCACATACATGTCAGTTTAAAATGGTGATCATAATTCATACCTTACTGTTACATCAATCTTTTACCCATGTAAGTTGTGTTACATAAACACATTTCAATAGCGAACGAAAATGAAGAGTGAGTCCGGATCTCCTTCAACAAACAGTATAATAAAACATTAATGACATCTACGTAGAACATTCTAGTTATATAACTAAGTATACATCACTGACTAAAAACAATTGTTATGGAAATAAAAATACATAAATAAGAACCTCATGCAGAATACATAATAACACTGAGATTAGTCAAATTCCAAAGGACTAATGCTAAATCATATAAAGTTTCACAAGTTTTAACTCAAGACTAGAGAATCACCTATCTAAGACAGGATTTGAATGCCAATGATTAAGACACGATTTTCGAAACTGTGAATGGATTTTTTATCTTCATTAATCCAAAATTCCATACATGTATATTTTTGCATAAGTCAGTTCGTATTATAAAAAACCTTTGTTATTGAATAAGCCATTGTAAATTATGAATACGTGTAAACATCAACTGCACGTAATTATAATTACTTATGATCAATAGAAACACTGTAGATACAACAGTAAAGGATGCAATGAAAGTAAAACTTAAAACTGTTAAACAAACATGATCACAAGTATAATTTTAGAAGTTCACTGTGTTGCATGAATCAACATTTCACAAAAATAGATTCGGTTGAGATCTTTCTCTGTGTAAATACATTCTTCGTATGTTTAACATTTGCTTATTTTACAAATGTTCTTACATTAAAAAAGGAATGGTTTGCTAAATACAATTAACAACGTTTTGTTAGACACACAACGATTAGTCAAAAGTGGCGTAGGCAAAAAAGCTAGGTGAAGCATGATTGGACATGCTATCCTCCCTACATAAATTTTCACAGATTCCCGATTTTTCCATGGACAAGTATGTTATTTCCCCTCTCCTATACCTTTGAACAGGTTTTGCTTTCCTTTATCATGCAGCTTATTGTCAATGGTTAGAAAATTGGTATATCAATTTAGGTATGATTTCTCATGCATGTTTAGTCATACTTTATCGAGATGCTGCTTTAGCTAATTTGTTATGTCGGTAATGTAGTTCTAAAATATCGATTAATTTTTGTAAAATTACCTTCGTTTTTGAAGTAAGACGACCGTGTGAACAAAATTATGCTTGCTTTAGCCTTTACATGTCACATACTCAACAAACGGATGAGAGATTTAATATAAACAACGTGACCAGATACATATCAGTTAAAAAAATGGTGATCATAATTCATGCCTTATTGCAACATTAATTTTTTATCCATGTGAGTTTTATCACATAAACACAATTAAATAACGAACGAAAATGAAGAGTGAGTCAGGATATCCTTCAACAAACAGTATAATAAAACATTAATGACATCTATATAGAACATTCTACTTATATAACTAAGTATACATCACTGACTAGAAACAATTGTTATAGAAAGAAAAATACATAAATAACAACCTCATACGAAGTGCATGATAACATTGAAATTATTCAAATTCCATAGGACTAATGCTAAATCGTATAAAGTTTCACAAGTTTTAACTCAGGAGTTGAGGATCAACTATCTAAGACAGGATTTGAATGCCAATGATTAAGACACGATTTTCGAAACTGTGAATGGATTTTTTATCTTCATTAATCCAAAATTCCATACATGTATATTTTTGCATAAGTCAGTTCATATTATAAAAACCTTTGTTATTAAATAAACCATTGTAAATTATAAATACATGGCAAACATCAACTGCACGCAATTATAATTACTTATGATCAATAAAGACACTGTAGATACAACAGTAAACTTTGCAATGAAAGTAAACCTTAAAACTGTTAAACAAACACGATCAAAAGTATAATTTTGAAAGCTCACTGTGTTGCATGAATCAACATTTCACAAAAATAGATTCGGTTGAGTTCTTTCTCTGTGTAAATACATTCTTCCTGTGTTCAACATTTGTTTCTTTTACAAATGTTCTTACTTTCAAAATGAATGGTTTGCTCAATACAATTAACAACATTTTGTTAGACACAAAGCGATTAGTCAAAAGTGGCGTCAGCAAAAAAGGGAGGTGATGCATGATTGGACATGCTATCCCCCTACATAAATTTTCACAGATTCCAATTTTTTTCATACACAAGTATACTATTTCAACTCTCCCATACCTTTGAACAGGTTTAGCTTTCCTTTACCATGCAGCTTACTGTCAATAGTTAGAAAGTTGGTATATCAATTTAGATATGATTTCTCATGCATGTTTAGTCATACTTTATCGAGATGCTAATTTAGCTAATTTGTTATGTCAGTAATGTAGTTTTAAAATATCGCTTAATTTTCTAAAATTACCTTCGTTTTAGAAATAAGACGACCGTGTGAAAAAATTATGCTTGCTTTAGTTCTTTACATGTCACATACTCAACAAACGGATGAGAGATTTAATATAAACAACGCGACCACATACATATCAGTTTAAAATGGTGATCATTATTCATACCTTATTGTAACATCAATCTTTCATCATGTAAGTTTTGTTACATAAACACATTTAAATAGCGAACGAAAATGAAGAGTGAGTCAGGATCTCCTTCAACAAACAGTATAATAAAACATTAATGACATCTATGTAGAACATTCTAGTTATATAACTAAGTATACATCACTGACTAAAACAATTGTTATAGAAATAAAAATACAAAATAAGAACCTCATGCAGAGTACATAATAACATTGAGATTAGTCAAATTCCAAAGGACTACTGCTAAATCTTATAAAGTTTCACAAGTTTTAACTCAGGAATAGAGAATCAATCTATCTAAGACAGGATTTGAATGCCAATGATTAAGACACGATTTTCGAAACTGTGAATGGATTTTTCCTTCATTAATCAAAAATTCCATACATGTATATTCTTGCATAAGTCAGTTCATATTATAAAAACCTTTGTTATTAAATAAACCATTGTAAATTATGAATACATAACAAACATCAACTGCACGCAATTATAATTACTTATGATCAATAAAACACTGTAGATACCACAGTAAAGGTTGCAATGAAAGTAAACCTTTAAACTGTTAAGCAAACATGATCAAAACTATAATTTTAAAAGCTCACTGTGTTGCATGAATCAACATTTCACAAAAATAGATTCGGTTGTGTTCTTTCTCTGTGTAAATACATTATTCTTATGTTTAACATTTGCTTATTTTACAAATTTTCTTATTTTAAAAATAAATGGTTTGCTCAATACAATTAACAACATTTTGTTAGGCCCACAGCGATTATTCAAAAGTGACGTCGGCAAAAAAGGGAGGTGTTGCATGATTGGACATGCTATCCCCCCTAGAAAAATTTTCACTGATTCCCATTTTTTCCATAGACAAGTATGCTATTTTACTTCTCCCCATATCTTTGAACAGGTTTTGATTTCCTTTACCATGCAGATTATTGTCAATGTTAGAAAGTTGGTATATCAACTTAGATATGATTTCTCATGCATGTTTAGTCGTACTTTATCATGATGCTGCTTTAGCTAATTTGTAATGTCAGTAATGTTGTTTTAAAATATCGCTTTATTTTTAGAAAAATTACCTTCGTTTTAGAAATAAGACAACCGTGTGAAAAATAATTATGCTTGCTTTAGTTTTATTACATGTCACATACTCAACAAACGGATGAGCGATTTAGTATAAACAACGCGACCACATACATATCAGTTTAAAAATGGTGATCATTATTCATACCTTATGGTAACATCAATCTTTCATCTATGTAAGTTTTGTTTTATAAACACATTTAAATAGCGAACGAAAATGAACAGTGAGTTAGGGTCTCCTTCGACAAACAGTGTAATAAAACATTAATGACATCTATGTAGAACATTCTAGTTATATAACTAAGTATACATCACTGATTAAAAACAATTGTTATAGAAATAAAAATACAAAGATAAGAACCTCGTGCAGAGTACATAATAACATTGAGATTAGTCAAATTCCAAAGGACTACTGCTAAATCTTATAAAGTTTCACAAGTTTTAACTCAGGAATAGAGAACAATCTATCTAAGACAGGATTTGAAACCCAATGATTAAGACACGATTGTCGAAACTGTGAATGGATTTTTTCCCTTCATTAATCAAAAATTCCATACATGTATATTCTTGCATAAGTCAGTTCATATTATAAAAAACCTTTGTTATTAAATAAACCATTGTAAATTATGAGTACGTAACAAACATCAACTACACGCAGTTATAATTACTTATGATCAATAATACACTGTAGATACCACAGTAAAAGTTGCAATGAAAGTAAACCTTAAAACTGTTAAGCAAACATGATCAAAACTATAATTTTAAAAGCTCACTGTGTTGCATGAATCAGCATTTCACAAAAATAGATTCGGTTGTGTTCTTTCTCATTGTAAATACATTATTCTCATGTTTAACATTTGTTTATTTTACAAATTTTCTTATTTTAAAAATGAATGGTTTGCTCAACACAATTAACAACATTTTGTTGGACACACAGCGATTTGTCAGAAGTGGCGTCGGCAAAAAAGGGAGGTGTTGCATGATTGGACATGCTATCCCCCCTAGAAAAATTTTCACAGATTCCAATTTTTTCCATAGACAAGTATGCTATTTTACCTCTCACATATCTTTGAATAGGTTTTGCTTTCCTTTACCATGCAGCTTATTTTCAATGTTAGAAAGTTGGTATATCAACTTAGATATGATTTCTAATGCATGTTTAGTCGTACTTTATCGAGATGCTGCTTTAGCTAATTTGTAATGTCAGTAATGTTGTTTTAAAATATCGCTTTATTTTTAGAAAAATTACTTTCGTTTTAGAAATAAGACAACCGTGTGAAAAATAATTATGCTTGCTTTAGTTTTATTACATGTCACATACTCAACAAACGGATGAGCGATTTAGTATAAACAACGCGACCACATACATATCAGTTTAAAAATGGTGATCATTATTCATACCTTATGGTAACATCAATCTTTCATCTATGTAAGTTTTGTTTTATAAACACATTTAAATAGCGAACGAAAATGAACAGTGAGTTAGGATCTCCTTCGACAAACAGTGTAATAAAACATTAATGACATCTATGTAGAACATTCTAGTTATATAACTAAGTATATATCACTAACTAAAAACAATTGTTATAGAAATAAAAATACAAAGATAAGAACCTCGTGTAGAGTACATAATAACATTGAGATTAGTCAAATTCCAAAGGACTACTGCTAAATCTTATAAAGTTTCACAAGTTGTAACTCAGGAATAGAGAACAATCTATCTAAGACAGGATTTGAAACCCAATGATTAAGACACGATTGTCGAAACTGTGAATGGATTTTTTCCCTTCATTAATCAAAAATTCCATACATGTATATTCTTGCATAAGTCAGTTCATATTATAAAAAACCTTTGTTATTAAATAAACATTTATGATGATTTATGTAAAATGTTATATAAACAGAAAAACACAAATTAATCTAAGATTCGAAAGATGAACGTTTGCTTAAGAATCGTCCAAATTTCCTGCAACTTTCTTAGTTTGAACAGCATATGCCATATTTTAACCTTATGTGTTCCAATTGCAATCTATTGGTGTCATTTTTGGCGCAATCTATTTTATAATAGTTTCTCGGTTACAAATTTTTACTCTAACAACGATTATGATTTACGAAAATTTAACTGTAATAATGTAAATGGTTTGAGCCCAGGCGTATCGTTACATGTTTCTAGATGTAGATCGTTATGGTTAGTAGAGTCATGAGAAATTCAACTTAACTTTAAAGGTGACTACTGCTAAGGAAGTCAAACGTCAGTCAACATCAATAACTGTAATAACGTAAATGGTTTGAACCTCGGCGTATCGTTACATGTTTCTAGATGTAGATCGTCATTGTTAGTACAGTCCTGAGAAAGTCAACTTGACTTTAAAGGGGACAACTGCTAAGGAAGTCAAAACGTCAGTCAACATCAAAAACTGTAATAACGTAAATAGTTTCAACCCGGACGTATCGTTACATGTTTCTAGATGTAGACCGTCATTGTTAGTACAGTCCTGAGAAAGTCAATTTGACTTTAAAGATGACGACTGCTAAAGAAGTCTAAACTTCAGTCAACATCAATAACTGTAATAACCTAAATAGTTTGAAACTGGGCGTATCGTTACATGTTTCTAAATGTAGATCGTCATTGTTAGTAGAGTCCTGAGAAAGTCAACTTGACATTAAAGGTGACTACTGCTAAGGGAGTCAAAAACGTCAGTAAACATCAATAACTGTAATAACGTAAATGGTTTGAACCTGGGCGTATCGTTACATGTTTCTAGATGTAGATTGTCATTGTTAGTAGAGTCCTGAGAAAGTCAACTTGACTTTAAAGGTGATTACAGCTAAGGAAGTCAAAACGTCAGTCAACATAATTAACTGTAATAACGTAAATGGTTTGAACCCGGACGTATCGTTACATGTTTTTAGATGTAGATCGTCATTGTTAGTAGAGTCCTGAGAAAGTCAACTTGACTTTAAAGGTGATTACAGCTAAGGAAGTCAAAACGTCAGTCAACATAATTAACTGTAATAACGTAAATGGTTTGAACCCGGACGTATCGTTACATGTTTTTAGATGTAGATCGTCATGGTTAGTAGAGTCCTGAGAAAGTCAACTTGACTTTAAAGGTGACGACTGCTAAGGAAGTCAAAACGTCAGTCAACAACAACAACAACAGTCTTTCTCATGACTCTACTAACCTGGACGATCTACATCTACAAACATGTGAAAAATTGACATTAGATAAATCATTGGAAGTCAAACAACATATTTCCACCAAAGGTTTTTGCGAACCTTGTACGCTGATTGATTTAGAAACGTTCTCTCAACTGTGTCGTTTTTTCATATTTCCCCAATCCTTTGGGGTATCCATTGCCTCCGTAGGATTTTTAGAACTTCAACAGGACAGCATACTAATATTTACTGTCTCGATTCAGAGAAAATCGTTCGTTCGTAGGGCCGTACTGCCACTGTAGGATTCCAATGGAATATGAATTTCAAGAATCGCCTGCAACTAAAAAATACGTCAAACATGTCAAATACATCGTAAATATGAGTGGACAACAATTAATAAGAATTTATAAAATTTCAATGTTGCCAGTGAGGTGCCAGGTGTGAATCGAATTCTAAATATAAAAATAAGATCCTAAAAGATCGGGTTTGAGAAAGCCATCAGCATTTGATTTTTTCAATATCTGTTTAAAAAAGTAAGCCACGTTTCGTCTTGACTCAAGACATCTCAGACTAATTACATAGACTTACTACGATGCTCAAAAGTTTCTGTTTATTTTTTTTACTTTGCTGTGTGCCCTTTTACAGGAAGCAACTATCTATAACTCCCTTTTTTCTCTTCAGATCTTAAAAACTCTTAAATTGGTCTTTTCAATAGTTGGGAGGGAGGGAAGAATGCATGTCCCCCTTAGCTCTTTTCATGGTAAATTTCCCCCCATTACTTAACCACCCCCCCCCTTATATCTTGTACAATCTTTCTTACATTTCCTTACAATACACAATATCAGCTTTACACTATAAGTACACATCCACACAAACCTCACACTTTAACTATCTAAGTAATTACATCTCATTTGAAGATGTCTTGAGTCGAGAGAAAACGATAATCGTCGAGTGCTTTGTTTTAATAAATATCAAAGAAATCGAACGCTTATGGTTATCTTTGAAACGATCTGTTGGACTCTAACCTTTAGGTTGATAATATACCTTTTCAAAGTTATCGCAGCCATATTGCTGGGGGTGGAAAAACATTGGGCCCCATGGCGTCCATATAAATTACTATTAAATGCGCAAAAATTACCCTTATACATATTGGCCATTTCTTTCAAATATATTTCTCAAACTCGTCCATTTTAATAGTTGAATTATTATTTGCGATTTTTCATACATGTGAGTCCAATTTTGTGGTAATCTAAAAGCGGAAAGTTAAAGAAAACATTTGTTTTCTTTGAACAACTTGACCATCGTTTGAGCGATGTTCTTGAGTTCGCAACAAAGGCACATGTCTACAGCAAAGTCAGCAAGTATCACGAGGAACTGTTATACGGCAAACTCTTACTAGTATTTCCAATTATTTGTAAAGTGACATTGCTATTTTTATTATTATGTATGGCGACTTAAGAGCCAGAAGAAGAAACAGCCAAGTATTCAAATACACACTTAAAACTGTTAGTCGATGGGAGGCAGGTGTGAAACCTTACATCATACTCACTAAAAACTGTTCAAATTCCAAAGTGGCAGGGAGTAAAAATGCCTTAGATTTTGCTGGATTTCCATCAAAACTTGAATCAGAATCCTCGGTGTCATAGGATTGATGAGGACGCTTTGATATCGTCCATGTTTCTCCTCTTTTACGTTTAAGCGGAGTCCTCGATTGCTTGTATTCTGATAGCGTAATAAAAACCGAAGGATAATCCGTTCCGCAGTTATTTGGGGTTCTTCTTCCCAAGGGAAAATGATTCGAGCAAACGAAAGTACCATGTGCACCAGGCTTTGGGTTAAAGTCATCGGCTCTGCTGTTTGCAATTTGTTTTCGCCAAATTTCAGCAAGTGCTTGATCTTTGGGCCACTTATGAAAAACTAACTTTTCTACGTGAGACCTCTTAACTTGATAATCAGGATAGCGTTTATCATTATCGCAATATCCAACTGCACAACGCGCATTTTTTACCATTTCGGCTATGACTGCTCACGGCTAGTTTAGGGTTTAGTTCGTTTGATTGGCTTATGAGTTCCGCACATTTGCGAACTCAAGAACATCGCTCAAACGACGGTCAAGTTGTTTAAAGAAAACAAATGTTTTCTTTAACTTTCCGCTTTTTGAATACCACAAAATTGGACTCACGTGTATAAAAAATCGCAAATAATAATTCGACTATTAAAATGGACAAGTTTGAGAAATATTTTTGAAAGAAATGGCCAGTATATATAAGGGTAATTTTTGCGCATTTATTAATAATTTATATGGACGCCATGCGTGACCGCGCGCTCGGCCCAATGTTTTTGCACTCCCTGCAATATGGATAACCTTAAAAAGGTCTATTCAATAAAAAATTCTTTAATATCTCAAACATGTTACCTTGTTCAGTACATTAAACACTGTCTAATTCTTGTTGATCAACGTTATCAACGTCGTCGTCGGCGCTCATGATTCACTGTATAAAGAAAAAAACGTCAAACTAGATTAATTGGTCAATTTTGACTTCAAAATATCATTTAATTTCAATAAACATCGACTACAAATCATCTAGAGTTGCAACTACGTAATAAGTACCGTGCTTATAGCCATGCATTAAAGTCAACAACGAGCATCATTTCTGTTCAACGAGAATGATCATGACAAAGTAAGAGATTTCATGTTTGTAAATGATGATCGTCCAGGTTAATAAAGTCCTGAGAAGGACTGTCTTTGTTGTTGTTAACTGACGTTTCGACAACCTTAGCGGTAGTCATCTTCAGAGTCATTTACAAACATGTAACGATACTCCCGGGTTCAAACCATTTACTTTAAAGTAAGAGATTGCGACTATACAATATCGCGCCTTTGTTCATTTTACATCAAAACAATTGTAGAATGACATATATCAACTATTGTTACTTATAAAACGAATATCAAAAATTCATCAAACTTTGCAGTGATTAGTACAACGAAACATGTAACAATAAATTCAGATTTGGGAAGTGTTATGTCCCAACATTTCTAGGAGCGAATGTTTATTAAATGATTTTTATCTTCTGTCGAAGACTCGAAGATATTTCGATCTTGTGCAAGCTGCTTTTAGTTAACCTCTTAATCACAAGCAGTAACTAACGGTGATTTACATTGACTAGTCTTTGGGATCGCATGTAATTTTGCATTGCTTACAAACATTCATACAATTTATGAAACTTTTAGCAACATATAGATAGCGAATATTCACGGAAATAATCTTAACAATCTGTGACAAACTGGAATTCGAATTCAGGAGTTCGTTTCCATGTACTTTACTTATGTCACTGAAATTCGAACAACAAATACTTAATACATGATATTTACCTTTTGATGAAAATGCTTTGCACAATTTTATCAAAATTTTCGTAAGGCGTCTTCTCCAATGAATACATGACTAGAAAATGAAAGTATTGATCTCAGGAAGAATGTCATATGATCTCTGGGTGACTAGAAATACTTTATGATTAAATATCATGTGTATAAACTCACGCTAGTTAACCTAACTTTTTTCAATAATTGACGAGAATTAGTCAATTTGATAAAAGAATTTTTGGTTTCACAAGAATTATTCCACAATATACAGCATAAGACTTCAGTAGAGAAATTTTTTATTTCACAGTAAATGCTACACGCAAGAAAATCATGGAAATTAAAAGTGCTAATTTAATAGTCAATTGGTAAAGAAGAGAAACATGTAAAAGGAGAGGTCTTTAGTGCATCTGAAAGATATTAAAAAGAAACATTGCCAAGAAATCAATGACAAATATTGTATTCATTTGATTTACTAGTTAGAGCAATAATTAGAGGGAATAATAATTTAGTTTTGAATAAAGAAAGATGTGGCACTGGATTTTTTTCCAGTCTTTCTTAAGTGAATTGTCTTAAATGTAATTTTTTATTAATTGCAGGAGACTTGGTTTAGCTGTAATATAGTTCTTTTATGGACTTAGGAACTGAAACACTTTTCACTACAACTGAACAATCTTGATGAAAGAACAATTTAAATATGAATGAATTATGTAAGAAAGTGACTTCTTTGAAAACATCTGTTTGGAGCATACATTTTTCATATAGTGGTTATTTTTGGCAATTGTGTGGTAATGTCCCAAAATTCAAAATATAAATACTATTTAGCGACCTTACTGAACAGTCCACCTATATTAAGTAGACATGGTCACCATTTCCAAGATTCAAATTTGATTTTTCATTGTTCAAAAGTTGTGATTAAAATGGTTGCTGAATTAAAAACCCAACACATATAACAATTATGCATTTAAATAAAATTAACGAAATTTTATTATGAAAACATCAACTTACATTAAGTCAACTTCAGTAGACTGAAAGTCAAACATGTTTATAATAAAAATTTTTGTTGTTTATTTTAAATCCATAATTAATTGGTGCTTTTGAGATCATACATACATACATATAACAATTTATAAAACCAACACATACAGTGTTTTGTGAAGAAGCAAAAAATGCCATGTTCCAACAGATATTTCAGAATGCAAGATTAGTAAGGGATGTTGTGTGACTGGTAACTTTATAATAAGTCTCAAAGTATTTCAAAGTTTTGAAAAATATAATTGTATTGGGCATTAATTTGATTAAATCCAAACTGAGTTTGTTGCTTTTGTTTAAATATTTTGCTACCATTATATTCAAAGATGCTTTGTCCCATTTAACACATAAACGAATGCAGCATTGATGAATTAAAACTTAAAATAAAATGAATAAAAAATACAAATGTGTTTCCTTTTGGGTCCTTTTCAATTAAACCCCAATAACACTGACAACATTCTACAGCATAATTCATAAAATGTTCAAAATTATTGTTTCATTTATGATCAAATATGAAATAAAATGCACTCGCCAGATAATTTTGTTCAAAATCTATGTTATAAATCATTAAAAAACTTTACTTACCACTGTACGTTTTACAGACATTAATGAAGATGTGTTTACGGAATCATGAAGCATGCGACGTTTGAAAATTGCATTGCTCGCGCGCAAATTCTCACGATTTTAATTCCCTTGCATTTCATAAATTTTATACACACATATAATTTTTCAGCTCACAACCAAACAA